TATTATTATTGTTATTATTATCATTATTATTATTAGTAGTAGTAGTAGTAGTAGTAGTAGTAGTAGTAGTAGTAGTAGTCGTAGTAGTAGTAGTAGTAGTAGTAGTAGTAGTAGTAGTAGTAGTAGTAGTAGTAGTAGTAGTATTCCTCCTCCTCCTCCTCTTCCTCCTCTTCCTCCTCCTCCGCCTCCTCCTCCTCCTCCTCCTCTTCCTCCTCCTCCTCCTCCTCTTCCTCGTCCGCCTCTTTCTCCTCCTCTTCTTCTGCTTATTATCCTTCTCCTCCTCCTTCTTCTGATGATTACTTCTTCTGCTTATTCTCATTATTATCCTTCTTCTTCTTCTTCTGATTATTATTATTATTCCTCCTCCTCCTCCTCCTTCTCCTCCTCTCCTTCCTGTTGGAGAATCCTCGCCCCCCTGTTGACGCCCCCGAGCCTGGGTGGGCGTCAGCACATAGCCAGCCTGCGCGCAGTGCGTGATGCGCCGGAGCGTCTCCGCCTCCGCGAGCGAGACGAGCACGAAGTAGCGGTGCGGGTGCATCGTCAGCTTCACCTCTGCCTGGCTCCTCTGGAGGACGAGGACGAGGAGGACGGCGACGAGGAGGAGGAGGAGGACGACGTCTTCGTCCTCCTGAGGGCCCAGTCGTGACTGGGAGCCACGAGGACGACGAGGAGGACGACGACGTCGTCCTCGTCCTCCAGCGTCCTCGTCAGCTTCACCCCTGCCTGGCTCCTCACAATCTGCAGGGCCTCCGCATAGGGCGTGCTCTCCCTCAGCGCGCTGGCGTACTCGGCGTCGTAGGCGGCGGCCAGGAGGACCCGGAGCTCCCATCGGCTGATCTCGCTGTGGGCCTGCTTGCCCAGCGTCTGCCACATCTGCCGCAGGCACGCCTCGTCGGCGCCGGGGTCGGCAGGAAGTACCGCCCGCGCGTCGAGGACGCCTGGGAGCCACTCCATCATCATGATGGCGTTCTTGACGCGGCGGAAGCCAGACCAGCTCGGATTGAAGTAGTTCTTCGAGATGAGCAGGTCTGGCGGCAGCTGCTGGAAGCACTGCAGCCGATTGAGCTTGAACTCCGCGGACCGATAAAAGGACGGGGGCACCGAGGCGATGTCCACGCGAAGTTTGACTGGGAAGTCCGTTCTCTGCCGGAGCTCCTTCAGCAGGTCCCTGGTCTCCTTAGTCGCACAACACAAACTGCATTGACACAACCTTGGGAGGTTCGCGCGAATTTCTTGGATCGGCGCTGGACCCCCTCACGCCAGGGGAGGCGCCCCCCTGGCGTTTCCAAGAGGCCCAGCGCAGATCCAAGAACTCCGCGCGGACCTCCGAAATTCGATGCGTATGCAAATGTTTCTCCTCCGACTCCTGCCAGAGCGCTTGGGGAGGCTTCTGCGGGCTCTCTACGAGAGCGCCCTCTTCCTCCTCCTGCTTCGTCAAGAGCGCCAGGTGGCGCAGACGGTCCGGAGGCGCCAGCGCCATGCTGCCCAATGTGACATGCCTCTGGACTCGGAGGGGTGAGATGTCGGAATCGTCCGAGGTCACGGCATCGACATCCACCGCGTCCAGCAAACTCCTGCAGAAGAAAAGCAGACTACATAAACACATAAACACAAGTTTTCGGATGTCCGCGCGGATTTCCAGGATCGGCGCTGGGCCCACCTCCCTGCCGCGCGGAGCGCGACAAGGAGCTGCGCCTGAAGCACTGCCAGGGGAGCCTAGCGCAGATCCAGAGATCCGGGCGAGCCTCCAGAACACTGTTTGTTTATATGTTGAGAGAGAGAGAGAGAGAGAGAATGTAAGGTTGGTGTATAAATACGCAAGCACATACCTAAATACCTAAATGAATGCCTAACAGAAGAACATATCGCATCACCTTTCCAGAGCTGATCGTAGTAACGATGATAGCGATACTCATAATAGTGGGGCAACTAATGATGATAATGACTTCCTACGAGCAACGCTACAAGTACTAGTAGTAGTAGTAGTAGTCGTCGTCGTCGTCGTCGTCGTAGTAGTAGTAGTAGTAGTAGTAGTCGTAGTAGTAGTAGTAGTAGTAGTAGTAGTAGTAGTAGTAGTAGTAGTAGTAGTAGTAGTAGTAGTAGTAGTAGTAGTAGTAGTAGTAGTCTTAGTGGTAGTAGTAGTAGTAGTAGTAGTAGTAGTAGTAGTAGTAGTAGTAGTAGTAGTAGTAGTAGTAGTAGTAGTCGTAGTAGTAGTAGTAGTAGTAGTAGTAGTAGTAGTAGTAGTAGTAGTAAGTGTAGTAGTAATAGAAATACTAGTCGTGGTAGTAGGTAGTCAATGTAGTAGCTAATAGGAATAATAGTGATAGTAGTAGTCGTACAAAGTAGTAGTAGTAGTAGTAGTAGTAGTAGTAGTAGAAGTAGTGATAGTACTAGTAGGCGTAGTAGTAGTAGTAGTAGTAGTAGTAGTAGTAGTAGTAGTAGTAGTGGTAGTAGTAGAAGTAGTAGTAGTAGTAGTAGTAGTAGTGTAGTGGTAGTGGTAGTAGTCGTAGTAGTAGTAGTATAGTAGTAATAGTCGTCGTAGTAGTAGTAGTTGTAGTAGTAGTAGTAGTAGCAGTAGTAGTAGCAGCAGCAGCCAGCAGCAGCAGCAGCAGCACAGCAGCAGCAGCAGTAGTATAGTAGTAGTAGTAGTAGTAGTAGTAGTAGTAGTAGTAGTAGTAGTAGTAGTAGTAGTAGTAGTAGTAGCACCAGTAGTAGTAGTAGCTTAGTAGTAGTAGTAGTAGTAGTAGTAGTAGTAGTAGTAGTAGTAGTAGTAGTAGTAGTAGTAGTAGTAGTTGTAATACTAGCAGTAGTCGTAGTAGTAGTAGTAGTAGTAGTAGTAGTAGTAGTAGTAGTAGTAGTAGTAGTCGTAGTAGTAGTAGTAGTAGTAGTAGTAGAAGAAGAAGAAGAATACTTACTACTAATAACAATGATCATACTATTACCAGGATGATACATATATACAAATAACCGGAAGGATAGCGAAGATAACAACAAAGAGGCAGAGAATGATGGTCGCCCATTCCTGCTCGAGTCAACGCTGCGACGGCTACAGTACGAATCAAAAGGTCGCCAGGCGGACCAGGAAGGCATCCCAAACGCCGACCTGCGAGGAACGAGCCCCGTGCAGCACGCCGTGGCCCGTTGAGGGAGCGAGTGCGCCGCAGGCCAGAGGGTTCCAAAGAGGCTTTTTTGGGGGGAGGGGGCCTTCCAAAGAGAACCCCAGGGGCCTCGGAACATCGTCAAAACGGGGGGTGCAAAGCACCTGGGGGACCCCTCCTGGAACCCCCCCCTCCCCGAAAACCCACTTGGGAACCCTCCGGGCAGGCACACATCACCATCCCTGGCCCGGAACGGCCAACGGTACGCCTCGCAAGCAGGACGCGGGTGGAGGACGAGAGAAGGACGAGGAGGACGAGGAGGGGGGAGAGTGGGCAACGCGGCTGCCAAAGACGGGACCCCCTCGTCGATCCTCACGTCGGCCTCGCTCGCGATCGTCACCTGCAGCCGCGAGTGGGTGTCCAATTTGAGGCTTTCCAGAGGCCACGGCACGGGTTCCTCCTCCGTACGCGTGTACTCAAGGTCGACGTACTTCTCTATCTCGATCTCCTGCTCCTTCTCCTGCTCCTTCTCGTCGGCCTGCTCCTTGTTCTTCTCCTGCTCCTTCTCCTCCTCCTTCTCCAAGGTCTGCTCGACGGCTCGGTTCTCCTCGCCGGACACCATCTCCTTGATCCTTGCCAAGATCTCGCCCGCAGCGCACGTCGCGTTGCCAATCTTGAAGACCCGGTCCTCGAGCGCGCTGGAGCTCACGGCCACACTCTCGCCCTCCTCCCTCCGCTGAAGGCCCTTCTTGCTGTCCTCGTCCAGCAGCCCGCCGAAACCCGCGTCCAGCACCATCTGGTGCACCACGTGCATCAGGCTCTTGGGCTCCGGCAGGCCCCTGCAGATCTTCAAGTCGACCAGCTCGAGGAACACGTCTGCCGTCTTCTGGATCCCCTCCCCTGCCAGATCCGTGTAAGCGATCTCCGCATCGCCTTCTCCCATCAGGTTCCGGAACGCGTGCAGGCGCCAGATGTTCATCAGGTCCTTGAGCTGCAGGGCGCTGAACTGCAGGATGTCCCCGAAAGCCGTGTTGATCATGAGCCACGCGGAGATGTCCCGAACCCTCTGCGCTTCGTCGACTGCGTCAGCTGGTGGCCGCTTGGACCTTGGGTTTGCGAGAGTGAGCGATTCGTGGATCAGCTTCTGAATCTCAGGAATTACGAGCACGTGGATCTTCTGGCCCTTCCCGATGCCTCGCATGCGGAAGGCACCTTGGGCATAGTCTCGGAAGACCATATCCTTCCCGAGCGTCAGCGCTGCCACTGCGTCCTGGCGGTGCTTGATGTCCATGCCAGTGGTGTGGATCTGGTCGTAGAAGCAGAACCTCTCCTCCAGAGGAATGCCACAGTCTGCAAGATTCAGCACCGTCCTCGTCGCCCTGACCAGGATCTTCTTGACATCCTTCTCGTCGATGAAGACGCAGCCCCTGTAGGAGTCGTCGAGGCCCTTCCAGCCCCTGTAGGACTCCGACTCCTCGAGGCCGAGAAGGAAGCACGCGACCTCGTAGTTCGTCAGGCCTGTGATCAGCGCTCCGGTATCGATGAGCGCGCTGATCTTCGGGGCGCGGCTTGTCGCCACCACCTGCCGCATCCCCACAAAGCCCCGGATCCCCCGACAACGATGGGCGGGGCCACCTCTCGGGGGCGCACGCTTTTTGCGTCCGTCGGCTTCCGCCGCGGCGGAGACGCGCCCTCGTTTTGCCAATGGCGACGAGGGCCTCCCAGGAGGCCCACATATAGGGGGAAACGAGGCGAGAGGTAGCAGTACCCAGACATCCGACGTCTCGATTCTTTCGAGACGCGGGCCCCCGACCTCCCGACCACTTCCCCAGGACCAGTTTTGCACCCCGAATCGTTTCTTGACGGTCCCGAGGCCCGGCGAGGGCCCCGGGATGCCGCAAACAAGGAAAAACCTCCGCCTCGAGTTGTTCGAGACACCCGGTGTCTGGGTATGGGTACGTATACCTTGCCCTCGTCTTGAGGTCCTTTCTGGAGCCGCCCCGCCTGGAGCAGGGACCGGGCGTTCCAGCCTCTGCCCAGGAGCCGGGTGCTCATGACGCCCCCCGGCGCCTGCTCGTGGGTGCAGAGCGTGTGGACGATCTGGCCCTCGCTGCCGGGCTCGAAGCCGCACTTGCCGAGCTCGAGGGGCATCAGCTCCGACGGTCGGGCTGTTGCCGAGGGTGCCCCTGGCCCCAGGTGCCCCCCCGCCCCCCCGCTTTCGCTCCACTGTGGGGCCCCTGGGGCCCTCCGGGCCTCGCGAGGGGTGCTCTGGAGGCCGTGGGGGCCTCCTCGGGAATCCTGGGGGCACCTTGGGCCAGAGGCACGTCTAACAACACCCGAGACGGGGTGCCAGAGAAGCCCAGCCGGGTCTTGAAGATGGTGCTGCCGCCCAGGTCAACTCCCGATGCCGAGAGCTTCCGCTCCTGCGTCATCATGTGCGTCGGGAAGATGATGGTGGCAAGGTACCAGGATATCATCGAGGGGGACTCGCGGAGGAGCTGATACAGCTCCTTCTCCGCGGAGGGCATCTGTGCATCTCCCACCATGCCTGGCCACGGCTACCCTGTAGGCCCCAGCATGGTGCATAGACCTCCCTGGCCGAGGCCACCAGGCCCACCGAATTGGCAGAGCCCCGAAATCCTGAATGCAAAACAGCTTGGCGGCGCGCACAAGGGGGCAGGAGGAGGGCGGAAGGCTTCCCAGGAGGCTTCTTCTTAGAAGGCGCCGGCCCTACATCTAGAGACAAGGCTCGCGCCTTACAAGAAGCAGGGGTCTGAGAAGCCTGCCCCCCCCCCTACCCCAGGGCTGAAGCTAAACAGTGTATTCGTTCTCGCTCACTTTGTCGTCGTTCCACCTTTGCGGCAAAACGACATCAAAAAGAAAACGATCACGAAAACACCGTTCAGCTCGGGACCTCCTGCCCCCTTCCGCGCATGGCCGAACCAGGCTGACGCCTCTAGAGGCCTCCTGGAAGGGGGTCCGAGCAGATGGGGTCGGAGGATCGCGCCGCATCGGCGATGCTTCGGCGATGCATCGCCGACGTCGGCGACGCATCGACGACGTCGGCGCTCAGAAAGTCGGGTTCCGCATCGAGCCGCATCGCCGATGCATCGGCGATGCGGCGCGATCCTCCGACCCCATTCGGGGGGGCCTTCCTCCTCCTCCTCCTCCTCCTCCCCTCCTCCTCCTTCCTCCTCCTCCTCCTCCTCCTCCTCCTCCTCCTCCTCCCCCACCTGGGAGGCCCAGCGCCTCGCTCTTGCTCCCGCTCCCTGCTCCCGCCGGCGGACCCGCCGCGGCGGCTCGCTCCCGCGGGCCTCCGCCGCGGGGGCGAGGCGCGGGCCAGAGTCTGGACGCACGACATGGGTACGGAGAGAATGGGAACAATGCCCAACAGCAAATGTTGTCCCACGCCATGATGTGCCCCCCCTCTTGGCCGCCCCCAGACCTCACCGTCTGTAGGGAGCACGGATCCCCTCCCCAGCGACAGGAATGCCTTCTTCTCTGGGCGCCCGAAACGGGTACGGAATTCGCCTGGCGAAAGACCCAACCATACGCAGTTGTGACTACCGCAATTGTGAATAACATCTTCGCCCGCGCTCCCGATGTTGCCACAACTTCCCGCCGGAGCCCGACATGCTCAGGGAAACGTTCGTGGCCGTCTTCGCGGGCGCCGACGACGACGAGGACGGCGCCCCCCTGACCGAGGAGCAGAAGCAGGAGAGGGCTCTAAGAGCCATGAGGGAGGCTGCCACTGGAGCCTTCGGTGGAGCTCCTACGGGGCCACGATCCTCGTGAGGGGTGTGCCGAAATGGCCCGAGGCCGCCATGCGAACGCAGCCAGTGGAGCCTTCGGTGGAGCTCCTATGGGGCCACGATCCTCGTGAGGGGTGTGCCGAAACGGCCCGAGCCGCCATGCGAACGCAGCCACTGGAGCCTTCGGTGGAGCTCCCTATGGGGCCGCGATTTTCGTGAGGGGTGTGCCGAAATGGCCCGAGGCCGCCATGCGAACCCTGCCACTGGCGCCTTCGGTAGAGGCCACGCTCCTCGTGAGGGGTGTGCCGAAATGGCCCGAGGCCGCCATGCGAACGCTGCCAATTGGGCCTTCGGTGAAGCTCCGTATGGGGCCACGATCCTCGTGAGGGGTGTGCCGAAATGGCCCGAGGCCGCCATGCGAACGCAGCCACTGGAGCCTTCGGCGGAGCTCCCTATCAAGTCAAGTGAGCCGTGCCTAGACGGCACATTGGTTGCAGATCGCATGCATGAGTATATACAGCAGTACGCTGGCGTCGACAATGCGAGAAGCAAAGCATAGCCATCGTCGCCGGCTCCGGCTCCATGCGCAGGGACTCTCTAAAGATCTACGCTTCCGTGCCCGACCCGCCAAAAACCCCACTCGGTGGACGACCCGGGAGAGCAGCGGCAGCAGGAGGCAGAGGAGGGAACGACACCCGGGGGCCAGGACGAACCCGGAGCCGGGGGAGGGAGGAAAGCGAGCGACACGACGCCGGAAAGAGGAGAGGAGGGCGAAGCCCGGGCGACCGCCCGAGGGACGAGCAGGGGGGAGAGAGCAGGCAGAGGAGCGACGCAGGACGGCGGAAGAGGGGACGACGACACCACCTGGAGGGCAGGCGGGCGGGGGGAAACCGGGCTAAACAATCAGAGTAGTATGCAGCATACCCTGTCACTCTTGTCAATTTAAACAGTACCTCAACTTATCAATTAAACAGTCAATTTAAACAGTACCTCAACACTGCTTCTTTCCACGCGCGTTGATTGAAACTGCTCTGCCCGATCGTTTGTCGGACGGCCTCCTCCTGACTCAAGGCCCCGCCGTGCATGCACGTTGCTATTGTCACCGCGTGCGCGTGCATTATCGTAGCCCACTGTAACCTTGGACGCCCCCTGCGGCGTTTCCCAGGGTCGAGGAGACGGGAATTCCCGCTCCGGAAGACACTCTGTCGAGTCAGCGATTCGTTGGGCAGGGCGGACAGCTCTCCATAGTAAAACAATTGCCTGGCAAGCAAAAGCTGGCTTAAACATTCCTGGTTTGCCCTGCACCGGACCTCTGCGTTGCTAATATGGGAAATCATCGAATGTGAAATGTTAAAAATCTTACGCAGACACTGAGCTTGAAAAGCGTCGATGTTTACCCTGTCTGCCGTGTGCAGACAGAGTGTTTCGAGGCTGTAAGTGAGTTTAGACACAACGCACGCCCTAAACAGATGAACCTTTCTTGCCCTACTTATGTTGGCATGCTTCCAAACGGCTTACAGCGCATCGAAAGACGCGCGGGCTTCACCTACGCGTCGGGCAACGGATGCCCCTGTTTTCCCGTCTGCCCTGAGGAGGCTGCCTAGGTAGACCGTCGAGGTCACCGTCTTGAGCGGCATGCCCTGCGGCGTGTGGATGTCCTCGTTGTGCCGGATGCGCATGTGCACGGTCTTGTCCCAGTTGGGCTCCAGTCCGTACATGCGAGCTCTGAAGATCAGCCTGTCCAAGGAGAACTGCAACCTTGCGACGTCATTCGACACCAGCGCCGTGTCGTCAGCGTAGGCCACGTCGGCGCTGAAAGCATCACCGCTCGAGCGTCCAAACTGCGAGATAACGTCTTGCTCGACATCCCCCATCAGTGCGCTCAGCATAATGATGAACAAATACGGGCTCAAGGGACATCCTTGCGCGATGCCGGAGCACTGCGCATGCCGGCTGCTGCAGCCATTCTCGTCCTTCACCTCGAACGTGCGACCGTCGTATATGGCAGTGATCATCTGGATGTATGGGTCAGTTAAGCCAAAACGGTTAAGGGCTGCCAACAGCGCGGAGGGGTCCGCCCGGTCGAACGCCTTGGACCAATCTAGCAAAACGGCAGAAAGTTTGCTGTCTTTTCCGGCCCACGCTTGCTCGATGTACCTGTGCATGATGAAGACGGCATCCCTGGCGCTCCGTTTCTTTCGGAAGCCAAATTGGCTCGGCCGAAGGCGCTCCTCGGCGCCGCCACCAGCAATTCTGGCCAGCAGAAGCGCGGCCAGGATCTTGTAGCTCACCGTCAGCAGCGAGATGGGCCGGTAATTAGCCGGCAGAGATTCGTCTCCTTTCTTGTAGATTGAGCTGACCCGGCTGTGCCGCCACGTCTGCGGTATCTGTTTCTGCCGCCAGCAGTGGTTGAGCAATTCCAAGAGAACGGAGCAAGCGTCATCACTTCCGCGTAGAACTTTCCAGAAGTCGGGCGGGACGTCGTCTGGTCCAGCTGCTTTCCCTGCTCGGAGGTTGCCGAGCACCTTGCGCAGCTCGACTGCAGTGAAAGCCTCCGCCGGCAAGTCAAGATCACGCGCAGACCTCTGTCCAAGTGGGATGGGCCGCGAAGGAGGGGGTGGGGACCACTGCACATCTGCGAGGTAAGTTGCCATGGTCTCCGCTCTGTGCGTGCTGTCCACCAAGTCGCCCTTGACGTCTCTCAGTCTTCCTTGGGGCTTCACCCCTCTCTTTTTGAATCGCCGGATGCTCTCCCAGCTCCCGTCTGCAAGCATGTCATCCAACCAGGCCGCTCTGTCTTTTCGGGCAGACTGTCGTACCTGGCGGCTGAGCTCTCGTTCTAAAGTGAACTGGCGCGATGTCCGGGCTTGGTTTCGCAGCTCAATCAAGTCCAGCGTCCCCCTGCGGATCCAAGGCCTCTTTGCTTGCGCCTGCCAGCCGTCCAGACACTGTTCTGCTGCTGATTCCAGACATCGAACAACGTGTTGTGCATGGTCGTCGACGCCTGGCGGGGCAGGCCCCGCCGCTGCCGCCTCGACAAATGAGCCGACGAATTGTTCGGCCACAGACGGCCGTTGCAGAGATGCCGGGTCCAATCTCGGAGAGCGGCCGGTCGGCCCCGATTTTGGTATATCCACGTCAAGAGTTGCCTGAACGAGAAAATGATGGGAGGCAAAAGCAAGAGAGCGGTCAGACTTCACCGATCGAACAACGTGTTGCCAACGTTCGTCAATGATGGGATGGTCAATCTCAGCGAACTTCTTGCATGTGATTTCGCTCGTCGAGTCCGTGCCCAAGTCGTAATACGTCACCTTCTCGACAACTGGTCTATCCAGGAAAGTGTTCGCAATCGCCATGTTCAACGTAATGCGTTGGTCTGCCAACAAATGCTGATTGCTCGTGGCGTCGGGGACGCACGCAGGGTCGCCGAAGGCGTGCGGGCCGACAACCGCCGTCTCCTCGTGGAAGTTCGGCGGAAACCGGGCGTTCATATCGCCGAACACGATGACTGGGCCATGCGGCTTGCAGCGGACAACGGCGGCATGCAGATCCGTGAAGAACGAGTGCCGGACGTCGACCTCACGAGCTGATTGCGGGGCATACGCTGTCACCAGAGCGAGGGACCCTCCCGGCACACGGATCTTCAGCGTAGCAATGCGGCTGCCGAGTTGTGCGAAACCCATGACGGAATGGCGCAGCCACGGGGCGACCACAAAACCAACTCCTGCGTATTCTCGCTTCCCGGCCGAACCACCCGATAAAATGATCAAGCAACCGTCCTGCACAAAGTATGGTGCCCCAGGCACGTGCGTCTCTTGCAAGCACATGACATCGATCCTACGTTGCTTCATGATTCCCGTTATCTGCTCAAGCTTGGTCGAGTCCGTGTCGATACCCAGGCCTTCAACGTTCCAAGAGGCGAAGGAGCATGCATCGCTTGGTCTGCATGGTTGTAACTGTTTGAAATGATATGGCCTTCCGTGTTGAGGGACAAATTCAGCTGGCATGCAAGGTACATGACGGGCCCCACTCGGCGGCCAAAGGGCATCATGTAGTGAAACTGTGTGTGGTGAAGCTCGTGGCTGGCGACCGCACGGCTGAGCTAATAGACAGCTCGCGCGGGCAGTCGCGCTGCCGTGGTTGATCTGCAAACCAATGTGCCGTCGTGACCCCTAGTAGGAGCCACCCGGTCCGCCACGAGCACTGGCCGCGCTAGGGTGTCCGCCTGGCTGCTGGTGCCCCTTGTCCGTCTTGCCCTTGCCCTTGCCCTTGTAGTTCGTGCCCTTCATGCCCTTCGAAGCCTTCTCGAGCAGCTCCGAGGATTTCGCGTGGAGCTCTTTGATACGAGGGTGGTTGTGGAGGTCGCTCCAAGTCTTCCAATCCCCCTGCCACTCATAGTGCACAGACTTGTCCTCGACCCTCGCCGTCAGAGCGTGCTCGCCCCCTACTGTGACGACGTACGGGTTACCCTCGCTCACGGAGATCGTGTATGGAATCTCCCCTTGCTCCTTCAGCACCCGCTTCAAGCCAAGGCAGAAGCTGCGAGCTGCTCGTTCCGCTGGGGGGCGGTCCTGCGTGGCCCACACCTTTTTGCTGCCGTTGGTCAGGGCGGCCGAGCGCAAGAGATCGACAGCACTATCCCGAAGTATCTGAGAAGGAAACTCTGCGAATAGAATGCCAGAGAAATTGCCTTTTGAAAATGTTTTCGTAGGAGTTGGGCCATTGAGGTACGATAGCTTATCCTGCAACCACGTCGTCGCCATCATGAGGTCCCCGAGCCCGTCCAGGTTGCCGATGACCATGCTTACCGCTCGTTTGTCCGTGGTCTCAGAGGTCTGGTCCGGCAAGCGCACCTTGTTGTGCCCGCCCTCGCTGATCAGGTACTCGTGGATGCACTCGCGGATCTTCGCCTCCATGGCATCGGCCGATGGGAATGCAGGAGCCTCGAATGTCTTGCAAAGCTGTTCGAGCTTGTCCACCCGGATGTCCTGCACATTCAGGCGCTGCTCCATGGTGTCCAAGCGTTGGGTCAGCGCCTCCCTCATCTCAACGACGGAGCCGTCGAGCTTCGAGAAGTCGTTGCGGAGGCCGGCGACTGCCGAAGTTATTGGGCCGAGCTGCTCCTTGAGCAAGGCAGCAATACCTTGCTTGCATGGTGACTCGGCCTCCCAGCCGCGGCTCCTGGATTAGTTCCTCCTCCTCCTCCTCTTCCATCCCTGCGGCGTGCCCTCGAGGGTCGTACGGGGCATCGGCATCAGCTTCGAAATCCGGTTGACGGAATGGTGGGCCCGCATGGTCCGTGGCGTTCTCCTCCGGGTCACCGGGCATCTGCACGTAGCCGTCGCCGCCAAGGAGTGGAGCGAGAGGTGAATCTGGTCCATGGCCCAGGCGCGCCCTCTTGTCGGTCTTCATCTTCATCCACGGGTCGCCGAACAACTTGTCCACTGGAGTGCCGGCCTTCCGGGTGTGATCGCGAGAGGCGGGAGTCGGCGAAGGCAACATGGCTTCAAGCTCTTTCTCGAGATCCATCGCAAAGGTCCTCTCTCGCTGTGGTTTCTGAGTGGGGCTCGTCAAGGCCCTCGCGGGCACCCCAGAATCGCGTTGTTGAATCGCGTTCCTGAATCGCGTTCTTGAGCCAAAATGGCTACGGAATGCTGTACTGGGTGTGCCGAAATGGCCCGAGGCCACCATGCGAACGCAGCCACTGGAGCCTTCGGTGGAGCTCCCTATGGGGCCACGATCCTCGTGAGGGGTGTGCCGAAATGGCCCGAGGCCACCATGCGAACGCAGCCACTGGAGCCTTCGGTGGAGCTCCCTATGGGGCCACGATCCTCGTGAGGGGTGTGCCGAATGGCCCGAGGCCGCCATGCGAACGCTGCCGCTGGCGCCTTCGGTGGAGCTCCCTATGGGGCCACGATCCTCGTGAGGGGTGTGCCGAAATGGCCCGAGGCCGCCATGCGAACGCTGCCACTGGCGCCTTCGGTGGAGCTCCCTATGGGGCCACGATCCTCGTGAGGGGTGTGCCGAAATGGCCCGATGCGAACGCAGCCACCTTCGTGAGGGGTGTGCCGAAATGGCCCGAGGCCACCATGCGAACGCAGCCACTGGAGCCTTCGGTGGAGCTCCCTATGGGGCCACGAAACGCTGTACTGGGTGGGTGAAACGCAGGGAGGAGGGGGAGGAGGAGGAGGAGGAGAGGAGGAGAGGAGACGCGGGCCACCGTCTCTTCAAAACGAGGACCCAACACCACAGGATGGTTGGGAAAAAATGGGTACAATGCCCAACAGCAAATGCTGTCCCAAACCAACAGCGGCCGCTGTTGGGCAGGCGGCCTTCTGTCTCAAATGGACACAGGCCGCGGCGGCGCGGACAGCGAGCCCTGCTCAAAATGAACAGGAACTGCTGTTGGGCACTGCACCCATTCTTTCCGTACCCATGTCGGTCGTCCCGACAGAGGGCGGGACGGCGCCGGGGCCGGCCGGGCACGTGGCGGTGGTGCCCCAGCTGGATGTTGAGACGAAGCCCGGGCGAGGGCAGAATCGGGGGAGGCTGCACCGAGCACCTCTGAGGTCCCGCGGCTCCGGAGGCCTCGGGCGCCACGGCCTGCCCGGGCGAGGGCAGAATCGGGGGAGGATGCACCGAGCACCCCTGAGATCCCGCGGCTCCGGAGGAAGCCGCGGGCGCCACGGCCTTCTCGGAGCGTTCTGGAGCGCTCTGGCATGGACTTATCCCCAGACAGCCGACGTCTCGACTCTTTCGAGACGCGGGCCCCCGACCTCCCGACCGCTTCCGCAGGACCAGTTTTGCACCCCGAGTCGTCTTTTGACGGTCCCGAGGCCCGGCGAGGGCCCCGGGATGCCGAAAACAACGAAAAAACTCCGCCTCGATTTGTTCGAGACACCCGGTGTCTGGGTCCTCGTCCTAGCCCCGTCCGAGATGCCCCCCGCGGATCCTTCATCTGGTTGCCGTTGGACCTCTCGAGCTCGTGGAGCGGAGCGACCTTTGATGGGCCGATTTTCCACCACCACCACCACTACCATACCATGTAGGAGAGGGAGGAGGAGGAGGAGGAGGAGGAGGAGGAGGAGGAGGAGGAGGAGGAGGAGGAGGAGGAGGAGGAGGAGGAGGAGGGAAGGAGGAGGAGGAGGAGGAGGAGGAAGGAGGAGGAGGAGGAGGAGGAGGAGGAGGAGGAGGAGGAGGAGGAGGAGAACGAGGAGGAGGAGGAGGAGAACGAGGAGGAGGATGAGGAGGAGGAGGAGGAGGAGTAGGAGGAGCAGGAGAAGGACCTCCCCCGTCCTACCCATGGTTGTGGTGGTGGAGAATTGGCCCCTCAACCTTCCTGCCGCCCAGGCGCTCGCCCTGCCCGCGCAACACCGCGCCCCTCTCCCGCACCCAGGAGGCGAAGACCTGGCTGGACGTGCGCTCCAGGGGCTCGCCCGGCTCGTGCGCGTGCATCTCGCACAGCTTCGTCAGGATGACCTACGACGAGGCCGACGCGACGGTGATGAAATCGGGTGGGGCTAAATCGAGAATCTCTGAGATCCCGCGGCTCTGGAGGATGCCTCGGGCGCCGCGGCCTTGGCAGAGCGTTCCGGAACGCTCTGAGGGCACTCCATAACGCTCTGGAACGGACTGATCCTCGTCCTCGCCCCGTCCGACGACCTCCAGGTCGGACTCGCGGATGCCCTGGTAGCGGTAGCTGAGGATGCTGAGGCCGAGGAGCACGTCCGGGTGCTGGAACTCGGAGGCGGGCGACGGGGTGTCCTTGCCGATGAAGGGCACGGCGAGCTTGCCCCTGGTCTCTGACGTCAGCGGCTGCTCCTGCAAGCAGTCCGACCACTGCTCGTCTGTCATGAGACCGTACGTCACGCGGTTGATCTTACGCAGAACGAAAGGCATATACACATTGACCCAGTCCCTACACAGGTTCAGCGTGCACACGTCGCTCTCGGGCAGCTGCAGAATCCGCCCCTCCCTGCGCACGTGCATCACCGTCGGCTGCTCCTCCAGAGCGACGCCCCCCTCGCCGGCATGCTGCCACCCGGACGAGGGAACCGTGGCCCCGTCCGGCTCTGGACTGCAGGCGGCCTCGAACACCAGCTGCTCGGGGCTGCCACCCGGGACGCGGAGGGTGAGCTGCCAGGCCCCGCCTGTCAGAGGAGGGCGAGCTGAGACAGTGGCAGCTGGCCGTCTGTAAGGGGTCCCCTCGTCGCGACGGCTGGGCGCAGCTCGAGGAACTGGTGCGTCTCGACCCCGGGAGGGGTCCCGGGACCGACTTTGGCCTGCCGCTGCCTCACCCTGAGATCCGACGTGGCGCGAGAAAAAATGCCACTGCCACGCCGCAAGATCACGATCCCAGAGCCCCAGACCCCATCCGCTGCTGCACCAGTGTTCGGGCCGCATCGCTCTGAACTGGTCAGGGGGCCCGATGGCGGGCGGAAGTGCCCGGTGTGCAAAGCGGCAACGCCCAGATCTCAGGGCTTGGACCCGGAGGAGGAAGAAGAGGAGCAGGAGGAGGAGGAGGCAAGCCACGGGCTGAGGAGGGGTGCCCGCCCGCGCGCGCCCGGGGCCCGTCGTCGCCCCACTCGTGCAGCGGGCCGCCCCCACGGCCTGGGCTCAGGCGTGCTGCCTTCCAGGGCGGCCGCGCCTCGGGCTACTGCGCCCCCGACTACGAGGCGCCAGGGGGAACCAGCCTGGCATAGGCGTGAGAGAGGGAGCGCAGAGCACAGGCTCGCTTGCTCCTCCGCCTGGCAGCTGCGAAGCAGTGCCTCGAGGGACATCAGTGCCCAGCAGCCGCAGCAGCAGCAGCAGCAGCAGCGCAGCACCAGCAGCACCAGCAGCAGCAAGATGACGGGTTGGGTCTGCAGCCACTGCTCCACCAAGAATCGACCGACATTCCGGTTCTGCAAACAGTGCGGCAATGCATATGACAAGTATCAAAACACAAAGCAGCGGCAGTCGTCTCGGCAGTCCTCACGGCAGTCTGATAGGAGGAGCGGCCAGGACAAGAGAGAAATATCGACAAGCAGAAAGCGCAGCGCGGGCCCAATCAGGAAGACGATCAATGATATCGGCCCCATGCACCTGGCACTTGCAAAAGTATCGGACAACTGGGTTGACCCTCCAAGCACATCGGATCCTGTTCAGGTGAGCCTTTTCAAGAAGAAGCAGTGGAAGCGGATCTACCAGCTGGGTGAACTCATCATTTCATTGCGGGCTGCAAGCAAATCGGCAGCTATCGAAACATCCGAGGTGTCTGTGCTGAAGACTGGGATCCTTGCCTTGCTGCCTGTCGCTGAGCAGGAAAAGTTGCTCAGCAAGCGAGCGAGCATTGTTCAAGAGAAGTTGACAAAGGTTGAGAAGCAGCTGGCTGAGTTGGTCAATACTCGCGAGGACCGTTTCAAACAATTGGCAGAAGTGAAAGAGCAGCTCAAGATTCTTGGCACCAAGCGGGACCAGCATCTCAGCGAGGACATGGATACTCACATGGAGGTTGACCAGACAGCGGGTGCCTGCCCCCCGCCGCCACCGCCGCCAGCGGCGAGGCCCACGGTCGCCCCTGCGGCCCCAGCGGCTTGCCCGCCTAAGGCGGTGGGCAACCCCCCGCCGCCGCCGCCCCCTGTGGGACAACCCACGAAGGCCAAGGAAAAACCGCCCCAGTCAGATGCTCTCATGAAGATCACGGCCTCTCTGCAGCAGATCCTCGACCAGCAAAAGCAGCAAGCGTCAGAACTCAGAGTGGCCCAAGCGGAATCGAGAATGCAGTCCAACAAGCTTGAGTTCTTATACGTCCAGTTTGCCAAGGGTGAGCAGGTAATACCGCAGACGCAGTCAACGCCACCCTGTATCCCCCAGCAACAACATCCAGATGCCGCACAACAGCAGGTATTGCGGCGTGAACAGGTGTCTCCTGTGGGGATCAACTCGCAGACTCAAGGTGCCAGCCCCCGTGTCATTCTTTCACAAGCAACACAGCATGCAGGTGTAGTATTGCGAGGCCAGTTTCGGACAGTTCGCAGATTGAGCCCACGGAGCCATTCGACTCACTGGATTATTACCAGCAGGTCATCAAACGCCAGCAGGACGAAACACAAGCAGAACTTGAGCAACGTATTATTGATCAGCAAGCCGAGGCGTGCGATTACCCAGTGAATGGCAGTACTCTCAGCAGCGATGGCTATCAATCAAACTTGGACTTTGAAATTGAGCAAGAATGGGAAGAAAAGGATATCGACAAGCTCGAGGCGACGCGGTTATTGGAGGAACAGGCCGAGCAGTATCAGAAGCAGATCGATGCCGAGGCCGCGGCAGCCGTTGCGCCTGTTCCTCCGCCTCCTCCTCCGCCTCCGCCTCAAGTTGCAGCATCAGCTTCGTCCTCGCATTGGTGGTCATCATCCTCATCTGGGATCCCTGGTGCTGCAGCAGCATGGCCCATCTCATTTCGACCTGACCAAGTGTGATGCTAAGACTGAGGAGCGCAAAGGTTCTTCTACGAGAAGTAGTCGGACGAAGATCGGGCGGATCGCATCCGCCGTGGCAAGCCAGAGGACCTGGGCAACTCCGAGGTGGTGCGCAAGGAGGCGGGGCTTCATATACCCCCAGTGGCTCCCGCAGGGGGGGGGGGGCTAACGTCCAGCAACTTCAGTGGCGTGCAGCGGCAGAGGGCAGTCCGTTTTGCCCATGCGTTCGAGCTGCACACGCACGTCGACGCGAATGGGGTCTCCGTTGGCGGCAATTCACGTAGTGCAAGTCGCCATGAAGCAGCGGGCAGTGATGCTAGTACGTACCGCTCTGGACGTTCACTTACATCGAGCATGGAATTCACAACGGCCCCTGACGGCACGCACTGCTCAGCACCAGAGGCTGCCAGGGAGTGCCGACCGCCGAGTAGCCCACGCGCACTCGGTGGCACGCACTGCTCAGCAGGCAGTGTGGGTGCCAGAGAGTACCGACCGTCGGGGCAGCCACAGCACCGCCAAGAGGCTTTGGGGCGCAATGCTATGCTATCCGTCACTCCTCAAGCGCCATCGGGCGAAACGAGGGGACCGTTTACCCTAGATGTAGTCAACTGCATGTTTGGCACAATTGCTACAACTATGAATTCTTCTGATGTTGGTGATGTGGCTGCGGGTGCACCAGCCCAAAGGCAGCATTATCATGGTTCTGTGCCCAACGACTACAACCAGTCCGCGGATCATACAGTTATCTAGACAGGGTACCCTGCAACTTGAAATTTCAGCATGTCCCTACTATTCCTGAGCTATTTGGTCAAATACAGTGGCGGATTGAGCTCTCATGGGGCTACCGCGGGATGCAGTTGCACCCCTTTGCTGATCTTGCTCTTCGCATGCACCCGCCTCGTCCAAGCACGGGCAATGCCATGCACCATGTATATACCGATGCGTCTCTCCACCTCACCTCCCCCGAGCTGGCGGCGTTCGCGCTGGCCCATGTCATGCAGGACTCTATGGGTGTTGCGTGTCAGGGCTATGTGGCTGCGCGGGCCTCGTCGGCACACTCTGTCACCGACATGGATGGCACCTCCCACAGCACTGAGGTTGAGCTTCTTGGTGCGATGTGGGCAGCTATATACGCACTGCAACTTCCATGGGAGGAGCAGGTCTACATCGTTTGCGACAAGATGGCAAATCTTCGAATCGTGTCAGGCTGGTTCCTGATCTGGATAACTTGGCGGCTACCGTACTCAAGGATGTGCAGCGTGCCCACCCAATCAAGGTCATACAGGAGCCTGGTCATCAGAATCCCACCAACCCTTTGGGCGTGAGTGGTTTAGAGAGCCCGCTCTGTTCTCAACCCCCTTCTTCCCCTTCGGGGAGGGGTTTACCCCTCCCCCTACCCCCTCCCCCTGGGCCTGGAGAGGGCGTCTCGCGGGTCGTTGGATGGGGTCTTTTTCGACTCCTGGGAGGGCTAAAATTCGACGCCCCTCACGGGGATTCTGGCCCCGACGGGGGGGGGGGGGGGAGAAAAGTGCTCGCCCCATCTGTGATCGATCGCCCGACAGATGGCCTCAAGATTCCTCCCGGACCCCTCCCAAAGAGTCCCAAGAGGCCCCAAGAGGCCCCCAAGAGGCACCCAATATGCCCCCAAGAGGCGCCCAAGCGGCCCCAAGAGGCCCCCCGAGGCACCCAAGACGCTCCTGGAAGCCCCTGGAGCCGCCAAGAGGCCCCCAAGACGCCCCAAACGGCCTCCAAGAGGCTCCCAAGAGGCCCGAAGAGGCTCCCCCAAGGCACCCAAGACGCTCCTAGAAGCCCCTGGGGCCGCCAAGAGGCCCCGAAGACGCCCCAAAAGGCCTCCACGAGGCTCCCAAAACGACCCACACCACGACGAGGGCCCCGAACGACTCACACCACGAGGAGCCCGAACGAGTCACACCAGGAGGAGGGGCCCGAACGACCCACACGACGACGAGGGGCCCGAACAACTCACACCACGAGAAGCCCGAACGACTCACACCAGGACGAAGAGCCCGAACGACTCACATCACGAAGAGCCCGAACGATTCACACCAGGAAGAAGGGCCCGAACGACTCACACGACGACGAGGGGCCCGAACAACTCACATCACGAGAAGCCCGAACGACTCACACCAGGACGAAGAGCCCGAACGACTCACATCACGAAGAGCCCGAACGATTCACACCAGGAAGAAGGGCCCGAACGACTCACACCAGGACAAGAAACCCCAAACGACTCAAACCACGAGGAGCGCTTTCTCTCCCTCCTCCTCCGCCTCGTCCTTCTCCCGCTCCCACCACAAGGAGGATGTACAAGGAGGCGGGAGGAAGGAGGAACAGGGGAGATATGCGGGGGCAGGCGGAAACACGCCTGAAAAACACGACTGTCGGCATGCTTCGCAAGAGTTGCTGTTTTGAGATGGGCTGGTGGGGATACGCGAAGCGTAAAGAATTTTCCATGGAATGAAGCAGTTGGCTCTATTTCACGACACTTCACAAAGGAATCCAATGTACCACCAGCTCTACCCGAAGGTCCTGTGGGAGCATTATCATACACGGTAGACGCAGAGTGGCAGTTTGCGAGATTGCTGGATCCAAGCACCTCACCTTACCCTCGTTTCATCAATGATGGTTTGCACTTCAAAGTTTCAAAGCAGAAGGTTGCTTTGCACAAG